ACTCTACCACTGAGCTATCCCCTCCCCCTAGATTACAAATTAAGTGCTCCTTCCATAAGCAACTATGGATATAATTTAATTCAATTGAAAACAAAAATTATTTGAGTAACTGCTATATGAAACACATGATGCTAATGCAATTTTTTTACAAGACAGTTTATTTTACAAAGCTGGGTCACTCAAAATTCTTAAAAATGCATAAAGCATCATAAAAACCTAAGTGTAAAAAGATTTAAAATTTCATTTATATTCTTGATATACATTATCACACAGCAATCTCAGAGCAAAAAAAAGGGATTCATCAGCTTTGTAGCTGATGCTACAAAGTCATTATCTATTCCATTTTAAGAACATATTGCAATATGCAAACCCATAAAGGGACCCCATATTGATAATGAGTGGGATCATTTGAATTTGCAATGTTCTTGATCTTGAAGGAATTAATAACCTCCTACCTCATTTTTTCCAACAACATACGTTTACCACTTTTGCAGTGTCTTCATTTTGAAAGCACTTGGAATAAACAGTTTAAAAACTGTAATTTTCTTTGTAGGTGCAGTATTAAATTGCAATATCAACTCAAGCACCAAAGAACAGTAGTGCTACCCTGAGGAAAACGGCATTTTAGATGTCTTAAATATACTAAGAGGAAGGCTTTTTAAAAAATCAAGTAAAGGCATCTCATTCTTTTTTTAAAGTGATTAATCCTGTTTTACACAAAAAAATCAAGTGCAATAATATTTCAGTCATATGTTACATAATAAGAAACAAAAGAAAAGGTTTTGAAGGATATCCTAAAGCTTTGGTTCTAAGGGACATAGGTAGGTGAGCAGATGGTTCTTGGCAAGTGCAGTCAGACTATTTCCCCTTCAGAAATTCCTAAATGATGATTCATTTTGATGTGAAGGGTACTGTTGATATGCCTACCATATGCCTCTAGTAAATCAAAATGAAAATGAGATCAAGTATGAGGCTTTTTGAATGAAATTTTCCTTTAAAATAGTGGGTTATTCAACAAGCTTCTCCCCTTTGGGGGCTATCCTCACAACATACACTGGATATTGCTAGCTCTGCTTTGGGGACACCAGTTGATTCTTTCCAAAAATTCTACCCACTCCTACCTATGTTTACAAACTCCTACTTTAAAAATAAGGCCAGTCTTACATTCCTCTATTCAAGATAACAAGTTCCTATGATTTACTAAGACTTTCTTTTTATTTTTGTTAAGTCTTCATTATCTCCTTTAAAAATTTAAATCAGATATTAATACAATTTATTAAATGTTCAATGGGATATAAAAGAACATGATGGATACTAAACTAATGTCACATGCTATACAGAAAGATTATATTCAGGCTCTCTCAACTATATATATTTTTGGTAAATACTAGAATCAAGTTTGTTCAAATAACAGTAATAATAATTTTCCTGAATCATACCTATCACTATGTCTCAGGTCTTATTATTCTTGTGCCTAGGCAGTGTTATTTGTAAGTATTCAGTTTACATATTGAGGTATTAAGTAAGGCAAAATTACTAGCTTGAGGAGTTTATATTCTAGCAATATAAGAGAGCAAACGTGGGCTTTCCAATAGAAAGTGTTTCAGTGAATTTACAGCGGTGTCAATGTAATTGACAGAGATAATATAAAATGCTATTTGGAATACAGAGGAATAGCACTTCGTTTAGGGGGGTGAGGAAGATCAGGAAAGACACCCAGCAGAGCTGTTTGCTGAATTTGAATCTGAAGCAGTCACTGCTTTAGAGATTTGAGATACAGCTGGGTTGACATATAGGAATTAAATAGTAACAAAAGATGTTGACCTGGTTATATAAATGTATATTTTTAAATTATTCTAGCACATGACTAGTTTTTTTCTTTTTTCTTAAATGTTTGTTTTGTACTCTTAATTTCTATTAGGTTCAAGAGATATTCTATAATTCCGAAGACCTATGATGTTTATTGTGATGCTCATATATCATGTATGATGTGATGAAACTAATGGAGTTCCAAAACAATCATTCTTTTACCATGTGCTGCTAGTAGGCAGATAACCTGTGCTAGAGCTCATGTAATTGCTGCTTGATAGTATTCAATTTGGATGGCGCTTGACAGATAATCTCTAAATGGGAACAATTGGTTTCAGTTTGCTGGTTGAAAGGCAGTTGAAAGGAAGGGCACAGATAAATGATGGGTACCCCATTAACAAAAAAATCAGCCATAGAGGACTATGATTCTAGCAAGTTTACTACCTCTGTGGGTAGTTAGATTTTCTCATAAACTGTTTTAGCTTTTGTCATTTAGGTTTCTACCACATAGTTTATTTATCCCACATTAAAGTGTAAACTCCCCAGGGATAAACGGTTGCTTTTATATTTTGTAACCTCAGAGTATCTATTTAAAAATTCGACACAGAGTAAAATCATGGGATGGAAATATTTCATTGTCCAAAATGTTATTTCCTATTAAATGGAATTTGTTGTATATAACTTAAATTTTCTCCAGATAATTTTTTTTCTCTAAATCTATTTTTCTTTTTCCTTATATTTATTTTTTATTTTTATTTTTTATTGAAGTATAGTTGATGTACAATACGTAAGTTACAGGTGTACAGTATAGTGATTCTCAATTTTTAAAGCCTCTAATTTCACATTGTAAAATTTAAAGTTTTATGGAATTATTTCTAAAACGTACTAAACACAGTGCTCTTTATAAAAAAACAAGTACTGTATTAACCCATCACTATGATCCTTCTCCAACAATAAAACTGTTTGTTTAGATCTAATTTGTTAGTGATTCAATGTTTAAATTTTTAAAACAGATTAAAATCTATTAATAAGGTTTCAATTATATAAATTATTTGATTTCTTAATACGAGGGCTATACGTTTTCTTAAAGTGAAATGGAAAGCAAATGCCCACAAAAACATACTTTGGCCAATGACAATCCATGTCCCTGGTTTTCTTTTTAGTAATGATTGATAGGAGGATGTACCACACGGCAGTTCAATTTCCCCAATGGAAATATTCCTTCTGCCCCCCTCCTCCAAATCCAAGAGGAACTGAAAGAAACATGGTAGAGCTATCCATTCGGACACACTGTATTCAAAAAGTGAAGGCTAAATCAGCTGCTCCCCAACTTTCCTCTCCTCTAGTTCATTCTTCATGATGGTAACTGAAAAGGTCTGGTCACATTATCAATCTTAGCAGAAGTAGGAAGGAAACGTGCTCAGATTTAAAAGCAGCTAGGAAAAATACAACTTGATGATTATGGAAGGAGGTAATAAGTGTATATAAATAATTATCTTATTATTTGACTCCATCATTTATCTCATCAACACATAACTTGTTTTTGTCTGGAGAATTTCAAAAGGCTGTTTTCTGACCTGCATTATTTCAAAAAAGCAATCTCTTCTTTCTTATACCTGCCTGCCCCCTCTACCAATGGTGGCCTCTACATGAAGGAACCATGTCTTACTTTTCTGTATCCTCAGGGTCTGGCTTACATTATCACCTCTAAATATTTGTTAAAGTGAAAGAGAAGACATGGAATATTTGTGTTACAAATATTTTGGATAGTATATTTTAGTGCAAAGAGTGTTTTGAAGGCTGATACACAAGTTCAAACCCTGGACAAGTTATTAGATTGAGCCCCCTGACAATAGAAGTAATAGCTACCATTTATTAAATGTCTACTATGGTATATACTTTATATACATTATCTCATTTAATCTTCACAACAAGAAATAGTAACCATTCAAATGAACTTCAAAAGTGAATTCCATGTACTGGTTAAAATAGGTTGCTTATTTTATTATTCAAGGAAAAATCATAAAGAATTCCTTTGAAAATCTTCACAATTCCTTGAAGTAAGGTGCTATTTTTAATCTTCTTCTTACCTATGAGAAAGCCAAGACTGAGACAGCAGTGATCTGATCAGTCACACAGCTAGTCAGTAGTTACGTTTACTCCATCTAATTACTCAACTCCGAAGTCCACGTTATTTCTAATATGTCAATTTATTTTCCTAATGCCTACAAAATGGGGATAATAGTATCTACTACACAGGGTTATTGTAAAGTTTACTTCTAAAAGAAATATGTAAAAACACAATGGCTACGCACAGAGTAAACATTTTATACAGATTAGCTTTCTTACTTCATCACCCAACTGATCCCCTTGTTTTGAGGGTCTATAATACCTAACAAATACCCAAATACCTGCTCTCTCTCTATACACACACACACACACACATATACACACATATATATATCTATACATGTACATAAAATAAACACATATTTATGCATATATATACATATATCCCTTATTTAAATTCTGTCTTCCTTTGTGTTTCATTGATTTCTTTTCTGTGGGGTGACATGTTTCAATTCACTTCTCATTTTTTTGTGTGCATCTTTTATAGGTAATTTCTTTGTGGTTCCCATGGGGATTACATACACCATTTTTAATAACAATTTATTTTAGACAACTTAACTTTAATCACATACAAAAACCCTACTTCCCCTTTAAATCTCCCTCCACTATATGTTATTGATGTCACAAATTACATCTTTTTATATTTTGTATCCATCCACAAGTTTTTATAGTTTATACTTTTATCCTTCAAATTCTATATTTAAAAGTGACTTACATACCTATTACAGTATAAAAGGATTCTCTATTTGTCTATATATTTACCTTTATCAAAGAGCTTTATATAGTCACATGCTTTTTTGTGGCTGTCTAATGTTCTTTCATTTCAACTTGAAGACTCCTCTTAGAAATTTTTGCAAGGCAGGCCTAGTGGTAATGAACAACCTCAGCTTTGTTTATCTCTATCATTTTTGAGAAACAGTTTTGCCAGATATAGTATTCTTTGTTAACTTTTTTTTCTTTCCACACTTTAAATACATCATCCTACTCCTTTCTAACCTGTAAGGTTTCTGCTGAGAAATCTGTTGATAATCTTACGGGATCTCCCTTGTACATGACAAGTGGTGTTTTTGTTTGTTTGTTTGTTTTTGGTGCTGTTTTCAAGATTCTCTGTCTTTGATTTTTGACAGTTTAATTATGTGTCTCAGTGTTGGTCTCTTTGAGTTCATCTTAGTTGAGGTCTTTAAGCCTCCTGAATTTAGGTGTCTAATTTCTTCTTCAGATTTGGAAAGTTTTCAGTCATTATTTATTAGATAAGCACTCTGCCCCAGTCTTCCTCCCTCACTCCTTCTTTCTCTCCCTCCCTCTCTCTCTTCTGAGACTCGCTTAATGCAGTTATTGGTGTATTTGATGGTGTTCCATGTCTCTTAAGCTTTCTTCACACTTCTTTATTATTGTTTATTTTTGGTCCTCTAACTTAACAATTTCAAATGACCTGTCTTCAAGTTCACTGTTCTTTCTTCTGTTTGATCAGATCTGCTCTTGATTCCCCTCTAGTGAAATTTTTAGTTCAGTTATTGTATTCTTCAGCTCTAGAATTCTGTTAGGTAGTTTTTACAGTTTTTATTTCTTTGTTGGCATTCTCATTTTGTTCATGCATTGTTTTCCTGACTTCATTTAGTTATCTGTGTTCTCTTGTAGCACACTGGACTTCTTTAAGATATTTTGAATTCTCTGTCAGGTAATTCATAGAACTCATTTCTTTACAGTTAATTTCTGGATATTTCATTGTTTCCTTTGATTTGGGCCACTTCGGTCATGTTTCCCTGTTTATTCCTGTGCTTTTTGTTGTGATTTATGCATTTGCAAAAACAATCACCTCTCTCAGTCTTTATGGACTGGCTTTCTACAGAAAATAGTATCATCAATCATCAATCAGCTCAGCTACAGAGTCTGGGGGCCTCTCAAACTTTTTGTGGAGATGTGTCTTCTCTGGGTTTGTGTATGTAATTTCCCAGTTAGAGAAGTTTGCCATTTTCCTTTTTAGGAGTCTGTAGTCTCTTGCTTCCTCTGGAGTATGTCTATGATACTACAGGTTCTCTGGCATTGTAACAAGTCACTGACCTCTCTTTTGTACTCTGTGGTTGCCGGGCATCCAAGATATGCCAGTTCAGTCAGTGCTTAGATTCAAGTGCGATATAAACTAATTACTGAGGCAGTCCCCCAAAAGCTAGAATTTGGATGTACATTCCACTCTTCTCTTTCCCTCCAAAAAAGAGAAGCTAGAAGAGAAGTTGGGCTTTTCCTTCTGACCATGATCTATGTCAGCTTGAGGAAAGGGCTGACATGGTTGAAATGAAACAGCTTTTCTTACTCATTTCAATATAGCTATTCCTGGCTTTGAGTTTGCCTGTGGCACTGCAGCCTCTTAACTGGTTTCTGGAGTTCTCATAAAGGCTTTCTGGACAGTATATTGTGTTAAACCAGTGTCTCTGTGAACACTGAGGTCTGGGACTTCCTATTCTGCCATCTTGCTGATGTCATTCTATGCCATAAGTTTTGAAGTAGCTTGTTATACAAATTCAGGAACAAGAATAACAACTCAAATGATTGGAAAGATATTAACTTAAGGACTGGTGGCATTAATCAAGAATGTGAACATTATAATATAACATTCAACCAGACATTGAGTCCTTCCTGGCAGAGGAGAATAACACCCTCTCTGGAGAAGGAATGAAAGAAGGAAAGAAGGGGAGGGGGGTAGGGGAGAAGAGGGGAGGCAGGGAGAGGGGAGGAGAGGGAGGGAGGGAAGGAGGAAGTAAGGAAGGAAAAACTTGAAACATTGCAAGCTTCTAGATCTATTAATTTACAGGGAATACAGAAGATAGAAGTTTATGTTAAATGACAACCTGGACATGTAATAGGTAAAACTCAAGAGTCTATAGGAAAATCCACAGGACAAGTAACTCAGTTTCTTCAACAAACTTCAAGCAGAGAAAAATAAAAGAAGATAGGAAACAAACATATAAATTAAGTGACTTAAAGCATTCTCTAAAAATATCTGATATCTAAATTATATTTCTATTTACTCATATAATATTCCTCTTGCACACAGACATTCCTTAAGCAATAAATACAAGGATTTTATACAATGATACACAAAATCTTTGATCCAGCAACAATTTATATGTGTGTATACATGTCTGTGTGTTTGTGTGTCCACTGCAGTTTTCTTTGCAATAGCAAAAATAAAAGGAAGAAATAAATTTAGGTCTATTATTAGGTATCCAATTAAAGATCCAAAAATAATTATGATGTTCATATAATGTTCATTGCCATGAAAAAATCCAAAATCGATTGTTTACTGGAAAAATGCAGGTGACCCAATGATGCGTAAAATATAAACAGATTTATTTGAAATACGTAAGTGCCTAAATTGACATACAGAGTTATCTGAAAGAATAATTACCAAAATATTAACATAGAATTAATAACTTTGAATGATGAAATCATGAATCATTTTGAGTAATGAGAATATGATTTATTTTTACTTTATTAGTTATCCAAATATTTATTGGGCAACCACTAAAGCCCAGGTTCAGTGCTAAGTGCAAGGACAGGGTTGAACAAAATAGACATATTCCTTGACCTCCTAGAACTTACATTTTAATATAGCAACACATTTTCAGCTAAAAAAATTTCTTCACATTGACACAGAGTAATAGTGATTAAGAACATTGACTCTGGAGCCAAACTATCCAGGTTTTAATCCCACCTCACCCATTTACTAGCTAAATAACTGGGCAAGTTATTTAACATTCTTTGCCTTAGTTTCCTTACCTGGGAATAATATCTCCTCTTAAAGTTTTTTAAATAACTTAGTAAGTGAGTAAAGTGCTTTGAAGAGAGTTGGCATATACATTAAGCATTTGGGGGAAAATCACACATATAGAATTTTATTAGGTTTTTCTTAGACATATCAGTCTGGATTACAATAAGGTACACAAAAGTACTTAATTTATACCTATGACCTTTACATTCAAAAAAAATTTGAGACAGTCTGGAAACTCTGGGTTGAAAAAACAGCATCATATTTAATATCTGAGTCTATTTGGCAGAAACATGATTTGAGTGGACTCCCAGGTGGAACAGATTCCTCTTAAGAACCCATCATTCTCTGAAATTATGTCTTTGTTAACTTGTTTGCTGTGTTTCCTCTATTAAAAGAAAAAAAGTAAGCTCGAAGAGGACAACCACACCACCAGTGCCCAAGACAATGCCTGAAACAAATGTTTCTTAAATGAATGAACAAAAAGAGCTCCAACATCACAAGAATGTCAATAGAATTTGAGTAAATACCCTCAAGTAGATATTATAGAACGTTAAATATTATATGAAAATAACTTTTTGAGGGGAGGATATCGCTCAAGAAGTAGAGTACATGCTTAGCATATACGAGGTCCTAAATTCAATCCCCAGTACCCCCTCTAAACATAAATAAACCTAACTACCTTCCCCCAATAATAAAAATAAATTTTTTTAAAAACTATTATACTATAGCTATACTGTACTATACTATACCTTATTATATATGAAAATATTTATATTTATATAAAATAAATAAAATTTTATAAAAGTTTTTATAAAATAAATAAAAGTTATATAAAATAAGAGTTAAATATAGGACTGTTCTCCATAGCTGTAATGTATTCAGATAAAAAGGGAATGAGTAAAAGGAGTAAGAGTGGTGTGAGTGAGTAGAAGCCCCCTCTTTTTTATAATACCACAGTCCTCTTAGCAGTTGTGCTGCATAAAAGTAAATAGTGTTTCTGGATTCTTTCCATTCTGATGTTGTTCATTGTAAACTGAACAAATTATGAAACAAATTAGCTCATTTTCTCTTCTTTTGGAGAAAAAGAAATGATCAAGTTTCTGTCATTTTGGTCATAGTATTAATCTACACGTACTATTTCAAAGCTCATGCATTAAAAGAAATCTGACTGACCACAGGCAGCAAGTTTTAGTCTTTGAACCAAATCACTAAGAAAAGCTCACAAATTTTTTAAGAACTTTTTTTACATTTCCAAGCCCCAAGATCCTCATTACCAAACCCGCATAACTGTGCCTATAGTTTAATTCCAAAGAAATAACACAGAAAATCTTTCAATTATGCTCTTTTCTTTTGAAACAAGTTATTTACATTTTTATGGAAATTATTTGCTGTGATTCAAGATTAACAACATAATGGAAGTAGTCACAGCTGTTTGTTTTCCCCTCTTATGTTATCTATAGGTGGAAAAATGAGAAGCTTTGATTATGCAAATTAAAACAGAATCTATTATCTTCTTCCTGATCTACGTCCTGATCATAGAGGGTTTTTAAGCAATGTTAGTTTCGCACATTAGGAATCACAGCTAGTTAACTACTGCTGCTAACCAATGGGCTATATTTGCAGACTCTATCAGTTTGACCCAGCTTCCAGAGCTTAATGGTCCTCCAGGCTAAAAGAGAAAGCTGATCCATCAGGCTTGCATTAGCATAGAATCACACTCGAAGCTTATTGATGTGTGTTCAGCATAACTACCATCCCCAGAACCCAGCTCAGTCCATTATTTTCATTTTATCTCAAGTCATTTGTATGGTTGTCTGCCCCAGTTAAAGCTCCAGCAAGACTGGTACTTAAATGAATTTGTGAGAAAGGAGACAAATGCCCCCTGAACTTTCAGCGCTTTGCTATCAAGGCTTGCTAACATAAAATATACTGGTACTCTTAGGTCCACTTAGTGAGCATATCAAGAATAGCCTATTGCAGGGGAGAAAAAAGTCACTTAGTATCCTATTAGCCAACAAGGAGTGTGATGATTAAATGATTTTTTTGACTGTAATTTTAAAGCACTGCTCTGATTTCTGCTGAAAGCTATTTATAAAAAAATAAATTTCTTAACAGCTACATCTTTGCTGTTTAAATACCTTTCTCTTTTAAAATACAGAACACACACTAAAATAAATGTTCCCAATAATAATACATTTCATCACCTAGGGAAATGTTACATTTAACGGTAACAAGAAAAACAACAATCTATAACAACCAGGCATTTAATGTGCACAAAACCCCATAATAAGGAGAGATTTAATGTGTGCATAAACCCTGTAATGGGTTTGTATATAATCAGGCATTTGAGGTATACATAAAATCACTTTAATTGTAAATCTTTAAAATGAAAATAAAGTGCTTCCATAGCTGTTTTGAATATACAATAACCATTGAAATTCTAAAACTGGTCTTCAAAACTATTTTTTATAAATTTATATACTGCTTACAACTATAATTCTGAGGAAATCTGAAAAGGTTACTATTCCCAAACCCATTTTTTTTTTTAATTTAGAAGTAATCTAAGGACTACAAAGGTGAAGTGACTAGCCCAGATTCCACAGCGAGTTAGTGTAACTAAAATTCAAAAAGTTGGTGGTAAATTTTCAATTTGCTTATCTGTCACTTAAAATTCAGCGCTATTTTTGCCTCATTATTTGTCTTATTACTATACTTGGGAAGTTAAAATCTAATCTGAGAGTCTTGGCATCCCAGCTAGTCATTCTCTTTATGTCCATCACTAGGCCTTTGGAAGCCCTATACTAGTAAAACTGGGGTAAAAAGGAAAACAAACGTTTAAAATAATTTAATCTATCAAATATTGCTAAAGTCGTCTTCATCTGCAATCTCCTTTCATCGACTTCTCTCATGTCCCTCAGAGATTAGTGAGAAAACAGAAAGTGAACTTTTGTAAGCTGCTAAAGCATTATGAAAAAGCTGGTTGTTAGGTTTAAAAAAATTCTGATACATGCAAAATGATCATCTAAAATTTCTTTTTTTTTGATAACAAATGTTATAATCTCATAGTTTCCATGGGTGAGGAGTTCAGGAATGGTTGGACCCTCTACTCGGATCTTAAAAGGCTACATACAACCAAGGTGTCTACTGGATTGCAGCTCTCACTTGGGGCTCAGAGTCTTTTGTCAAACTCATTCAAGTTGTTGGCAGAATACAATTCCTTGTGGATGTACAGCTGATGGAGGTTGTGTCTTCCATGCCAGCAGGAGCCTAAAACTTCTTTCTAAATGCTGTTTTAATTCTGAGAAACACAGTTAAGACTAAAGACCATAATCCAATGAAAGTAAACCTTTTTGTCTTAAATATAATGGTGGACTGGTTAAAAAAAAAGCAGCTAACATTTATTGAGGCTCTATTTTGTGTCAAACATTATTTCACTTACATTTTCTCATTTAATCCTCTGAAATACACCACATGGCTGTTTGATTACTCCCAGTATACAGAGTCTCAGGAAGTGACTCAGGCACTGGCTAAAGGTCATGAAGCTACTAGGTCCTCATGCTGGTCTCCAAACCCAGATAAAACTGGCTCCAAAATGGTGCATGCTCTTCTTTATACCCTTGTGCATGCTGCTTTCAAGAAAATCTTGGGGTTTTGAGAAATTCTTGGGGTTCACTGTTAGTTTCCAGACTGTGTGATCGTTCCACAAGTTACAGAGGAACTAGCTATCTCAAATTGTAAAATACGGAATTTCTGTCTTGAGAAGAAAATTTTCAAGAGGAAAACACTTACTGAGACTTTCTAATCCATCTTTGGTTTCTCTTATTTATTTCTGTTATCAAATACTCTTACACACTAGGTCCTTTTAAGGAATATGACTTAAGGCAAGTTGACATTCACAGAAGGAGCACTTGGCCTACCTTGGCTTTCATCTGTTGGCCTTTCAGAAAGTGATAAATTTACAAAAGGAAAACCGTCTTCATTTTTTAAGCATACAAAAATACATCGAATATATTTGTTTGTTTGTAAAAAAAAATGACCCTGGAAGGATACAAAAGAAACTGGTCATCGCAGTTGCCTCCAGGAAGGGGAAATGGGTTGAAAAAGGCCAAGGATGGCAAGGAAACTTCTCACAGTATATATACTCTTTTGGACACTTTGAACTTTGAATCATATGAGTGTACTACCTACTCAAAACATACCTACACACCTCCAAACATAAATAAATCACTTTCGTCTGTCTATGATGAATGTTAATCAGTATCACTGCAGCTGCAACCTAAAGCAATAACCATCTTACGAATTCTGTATTTCACTAAGTATTTTAAATAGAATTCATTCTAACAATATAGCATAGAAGCTTGCTTGAATGAGTTATAGATAGTATCCCAGACACTAGCTTTACATAAAACATACGTGGGCTGGAGAAAGAGAAGTCTTAAATTAGAAAAAATAGGATAACTGATTACTGATCTCTGAGAGAAGGAAAAGAAAAACATGTTGCTTGAGGACTTCAGCTCCAATTGTAGTCAAGATCACGAAGGTAAGGACAGGTAGGCTGCCTCAGCCAAAATATTTTCTTCTGAGCCCCTTCTCCCTAAGCATATTTACCACTAAACCAAAAAAAGAGGAGGAGGAGGAGGAGGAGGAAGAAGAAGAAGAAGTTGAAGTTACTGGTGATGATTTCTTTCATTTTCTCTCCTAGTTGCTTTCCCCTAAAAGAGAGACGGATGACATATAGAAAAGGTAAAACTGGCTATAGCTAAATCTTTTCATTCTAAGGTCTTTTTTGCTTCTTCTTTCACAAGGATGTACAAATTTTAATAAATTTGAGAATTATAGGGTAAGAGGGCTTGATGGTCCAAGAAAGATCTAAACCTACAGTAAATAGTTAAATATCAACTGATAACCTATTCTTTACAATTACATAGATTCTGTTAATTCTCTTAGTGGAAGACTGGAATGTTTCCCAACCTTATTAGAGTCAGAGTGCTTCTAATTCTATCAGACCTAAAATTCTTACATTTAAGTTCTCCAACAATAGTGAAAATTTATTTTCACATATACACAAATACCCTTTCATTCAAGTTGAACTTATCAAGCATCTAATATATACTAGCAATATATAAGGATTCATGTTCATCTGACTTTCACTGAACAAATGTTTGAATTATAGAAGCTACAATTTAGGTTACAAAGATAGGCAGCATATAGCATGTCCTTTACTCTCATGGAGTTTACTAGAAGGTTAGAAGATATGATTTTAACATTTTATAAATCCCACCCCATGCTACTTAATATTTATGGTTGATAAATATTAACCAAATTAAACTGAGTTCTTACTTTGACTTTCTGTTTCCAAAGTTAGAATTCCTGATGCCTTTAACCTTCAATTAAAGACCCAAGTCTTTAATAAGGACCATTCCAGCTATAACAGATTCTGAAATTATTTCTTTAAATTATACAAATGTAAGTTTAAGTAGAAAATTAACCTTGGCACAAGAACACGTACTAAGCTCTTTCTAAATGCCAGACATTATTCTAAGATCCTTATAACCAACCTGGAAGTTAGATGTGATTTTTGTCATTTTAAGGAAACTGTGGCACAAAGTAGTTATATGAACTTGGTCAAACTTACACAGCTAGTAAGTGACAACAGTCAAGCCCAGGCAGTCAGGGTCCAGATAGAATGTTTCTTAACTATCACACAATATTGATTATCAGGACACTAGAGTCTACTATAAGAACATTTCAACGGGTTTGTTTCATTGGACCATATCCCATTAAATTCTTCCAGCTGCAATGAATGATAATTGGGTTGGAAACCTTCTCAGTATCTTGCAAACCACTGCCATATCATATTTTTCTCAAGCCCTCCATAGTGTATAAAGGGTACACAATTTCTTCTCCCTTTTTTGCACTGCCCAGAGCTGAAAGTACAGCTCAAAAGATGAGAAGACAGAAAAATAAAGCCAGATTTTAACATGGAAAGCATTTATTGGAATTACCAGTAACTTTCTTCATCCTGCCCATCTTCAGAGCTAAGCATCCTTCTAAAAAATAGATGTCTGGGCTTGGTTTTGGCAACAACAGTCCTGCTTTCACATTGCCAGTCGTTTCCTCCCCATGAATAACAACACCATACATAATAAATTATTTTATTATTTCAATATCTGACTACCTGGGTGCCTTTTCAAATTATTCTGGCATCAAGAAAGTGAAAATATCCTTCAGGTACTTGAGCTAGCACCCCATGATGCCACAGAGAAGCAGGACTGATGTGATAATGCCCTTCTGCCTCATACAAGGTCCTCTATTGATGGGTAAACCTAGATTTCAAGAGGGTCACTTCACAACAAAATCAAGAGCTCAAAGTTCAGGATACAAACGGAAGGCACTATTGCTAGAAATAAGCTAGCTCCTGTTAGATGAACAATATCCTCTCTAGGTTTAAATAAAATGTTTATTGAGGTGCACCAGTTCCTTCATGTCAAGAAATTCTTTTCATTCACTGATATGATACAATTCTAAAGAGTACAGTAGTGACCTAACACGAAAGCCTCTCCAAAAATGCTTGACTTGGAGACAGATTCATTGCTACATTATGTTCAGGGGCCATTACGCTTTTCAAGAGATAAGTAAAATAGGGAAATAGATCAGGAATAGAGAAGTCTCCTGGCTATTAAATATGATTTGCTGCTTTCCTAATTTCAGGCATAGTCTGAAGTAAAGATAGCACTCAGGTGCTAGCCTCTTGGGGACCCAAAGGAGGGTCCCTGGAAGCATGGAAGGGTCATGAAGATCCATGCATGGAGGTTTCTGGCAAGATATTCAGAAGGGATGACTCTGACAATTTTTTAAATTTCCACCACTGCCTCAGACTTAAGTTGTTTTATTGAATTGGGCCAGAAATGATTGGCCCATTTTAGGTCAACTATTCAATTTAATTTAACTCACTCAAATTTAACTGAATAATGTATAGCTTGTTTCTTGTTTTTTTGTTTTTTTTTTTTTCAGGCTACATTTAACACAAATCCTCAGTGTTGAACCTAAGATTGCTATCTGAAAAGCCCTAATAATTAGCTACACTTAGGAAAAATAGCAACTAACAAATTTTGCTGTAAACAGGAAAACATGAAATAATTCACTCTGATTTACCCTCTTCTTTTTTATGGTATGAGTTGAAAATATACCTGTTTTATTTAAGAACTGTAGAACAAGTTTCTCCAACTTTTTCAAAAGTTGTCAAAATCAGATGTTACCATCCCCTTATCCCTGGTAAAAGAAGTTCTCTAAAATATACAGTCAGGCAGATAATTTCCTTCTTTCCCTCCATGCTATTCTATCTAATACTAACTTCCATTAACACCACACTGCCTGAAGCTTTATGTACATTTCCAAGACTCCCTTATTTCTAAAAAGCTGCTTCTTTTAAACTCTGAAAGACTAAAAAGCAGCATTGAAAAACACCTTTTATAGTCACTCTTATAGTCATTTGACTAGACTGAATATTTCACCCATGGCAGGAGAGAAAAAAAAAGGAAATCTGATTTTAAACCTACATTCTAGAGATGATGTCTCAGCAGTTCATTAAAATATGCATTAAAGGCTGATTCCTTATTCTAACAGTAACATCTGCCCCCAAAATGGACAACAAAATTATCTTTTTAATAAAAATGTATGCTCTATAAACTACATGATACACCAAACTGAATCCATTCTCTATACTAAAGATGACAAAAATTATCCCACTTGCTGAATTTCATTGCCACGCTGTCAACCTGAATTTCTTCTGTTTAAAAATAGCTGTTCATTACATTCAGTAATGGGCTGTCAAAGCACTACAATACTGAACCTGTATCATACACAGAAGCAATTGGGCAATGTGCATTATTATGTTTAGATTATTTGCATTCTTTACAAGACCCCTGGGCTAATTTTAAATGAGATGGTTCACCTGAACTAAATCAAAATCTGTTTTGTTTTACCTTAAAGCTAATACGTATTTTCCATGTATGACTCACTAGTGTAAGCATTAATAGTAGGTAAGACAAAAAATTCACTGAATATATATGTGAGGATAAGTAAATACACACAGATGTGGGTTTATGGGTTTGTATGTGGTTTTGCTCCCTATAGTCATATCTATTTTTAATAATAGATGATTGAATTACAACACAGGGCACACCAAATTAGATAATATTGCCAATATGTGAGCAAGCATTGTCGTCTCCATGAATACATGATAGGTTGTTAACTGGAAACATCACTCCTGCAGCATATAGTCTTTGATATTTTAGCATAGCGAATCAATTAGGCATCTTTTTAACTAGCTAATGTACAATAATTCACCACATAATTTAGTATGAGATATTGTGAACAACTATAAAAAAGCACATAACACTCACAGCTGATCCATTCTTCCACAGCATGATATCATAACCCCAAAAGCATGCAATAATGGCTACAGGATATCAAAGAGATGGTAACTAAACTGATCACAGATGACTTGTAAATATATCTAATGAATGCAAGGACCAGGTTAATGTTTTTTTTTTTCCACAAGTCTTTATTTTCATTGATAAACAGAAGCTACTACCTGAGTCACATAAGAAGAGAGAATACTCATGACATTAAAAATAAATTTTACTTTTAAAAAAATCACTTCTAGACTCCTACATTGGAAAATAAAAGGTATAATGACTTACAAACTCATAGACCCCATTGTTGGTGAAGATAAAATAAACATCAATATTTCAGCAAGATTAAACTTTGTAAGCCAAGTTTACCAAAAAAAGAGATTTCAGGGCAGGAACAATAGTAAATTTTAAGTGTGTTAAAATAAAGGGGGGCATACACACTACACATATTACATTTCAAGATTGCTTCTAGGAGTCAATAATACGTTAGGCACTTGTGCAACAAACAGTTGAATGAAAGCAAGAAGAAAAACACCCAAAAGATGCAGCTGTTGTATTTATTTACTGTAAGGATAAGATATTCCCTCTAAAATAATAATCAGCACTATGTCTAGTTAAAAGCTTGATAAGCATGATTTACCAATATTCTTCACACTCCAAGGCACATTGGAAATAACTAGGAAGAAAATTTACTCTATATTAAACTGAATCAGGTCCTCATACACATCTATATTTTATTCCTAAAACACTCCAAATATTTCACTTTATTGTGGTCACTTTAACAACATGGGTAGTGAGTCCAGCTAAAATCTATTTTTGATGTACATGCCTTGATTCAGTCAAAAATGCCCGAATTAGCTTTTCAACCACCAACCAAATATGAATGGGACACAGAGAACAGATTTACAATTAAGAATCAGTTTTGTGTTTTACTGATTAAATATGTGATATTAGTAATACATAAATTATATTGTATGTGCATTACATTGTTTTGCTGTAAAGCAAAAGAAAATTAAAATATACTTTTTCAAAAATGAAATGTTATTTTGGCTGTTTGGCCATGGCATTCAATCAAAATAGAAAGCTTTTCCAAAAATTTTATTATTAAAAATTTCAAATATATAGCAAATTTGAAAAAAATTTATAGAGAAGACCCATATAACCTCCATCTTGATGTTATCATTAACATTTTACCATGCTTGAATTATTATATATCTACCTGAAACAGAATTTTTTTTTTTTTACCATTTTTTTTGGTTGAAGGGGATGGGTTTATTTATTTACTTATTTTTTAATGGAGATACTGGAGATTGAACCCAGGACCTCGTGCATGCTAGGCATGCATTCTACCACTGAACTATACCCTCCTCCTAAAACAGAAACAGAAATTTTTAATGAAAGATAAACATACTTCATAAGAATAAATTAAACAACAGCAAAAAGAGTATAATGCTTTAATGAATAGTGAACTTATAAGGATAACAGCTACTGCTTTTGATTGCAGCTAAATTCTCATAAATGATCATCTCCATTTTTTAAAACTATGACTTTGCTTTGTCTTAACAGAGACAACCAAATCTCAATTAATTCTGTGTTACATTTTGACTGATTATTATATCTTAATATGAAAGGCAAGATATGACAGTAACAGTGGAACATATTTTATCACTTGGAAAGAATAAGGACCTCCAGGAAATAAAAATCTTTTGTTTGTTTTTGAGTTACAAAATGAGAACTAGGGTAATGATTTTTCTAATCACTAATGTATCAGAAACTAAAACTATTCTAATTCAACACTGTGTCTAGCATAATACGTGTATGTTATGAAAAACAACTATTCTATTTCAAATCTCTATTTCAACAAAAGAATACCACCCATGGTCCTCTCTCTAGGAACTAAATGTGTTTCTTTTGCTACAATAAAATTATCTTTTCATTAACACACATAAGATTCCAGCAGATGTAGAGAGTTTACATCCCTTCTGCCTTTAACTTATTTTATTTAAATGGGAAATAAATTTTAAAATTTGAGTCACAAACAATACCACCTTAGCCTCTAACTTTCATTTTCTCAGATGAACACTTGCAAAGAATGTTCAGAACCACTTCCTCAAATCCTTTGATTGGGTACTTCCTGCAAGACTTCAACAGGTCAGAGAGCACAGGGATTGAAAAACAGTAGGTAAAGCACATTTTTAATGCTCAAATAATCGTTTATAAATTAAAGACTTAAGTGGGAGAAAACTCCCTAAATCACAAAGCTATTATTTAAATAATTGTTAACAAGTAGAACTAAAGCTAGAACACTGTGATTTTGTTTTATTGAAATATTTTTCATACCCTAAATTATTCTGGGCTCCACCTAGAAATAGTGAACTGAGCTTTTTATTCCTCTCTTCTCAAATGATAAAAAGTGTATGCTAATCAAAAGTAAATAAGCTTTTCAATATTTATTCGCCAAAGTTGAAAATAACTTTAATTTCAATATTTGGTTTTGAAACTACACATGAACATGCATGGGTAAAAGTGTATCTTAGAAATATGTTAGTGTATACAAGATATTCTTAATCACCATAAACTATGTTTAAGCAAGTTTGGAATGCTTCATACCACCTTTTAACATTTTTATTTGTTGATGAACCAACAATGTTTGGCATAATTAACGCTAAGATCTCCAAAACTCAATGACTGAAAATAATTGCTTCTCTTTTCTTTCCTGAGTACTCTGAAGCCCAACCTAAAGATTTAGAGCTGACTGGACAAATATAAAGGATGTCAAAAACAGTGACCGCTGACATGCCATTCAAGGCACATGGAAGAGAGTTCAGGCTTGAATGCCTCTAAACTGCTCATTGGTAAGATCAGCTATCAGTGAGACGCAGTGTAAGTCAGCATTATTCACTGAGCCTGCTATGACCTTAAAATCATTGCTCCTGGGGCATGTTCATCCACCAATTAGTTTATATGCTCACTGGAAATCCACTGCTCAGTAAATGCACTGGTCTCTCATTCCACAGTGTTGATGAAGTGTGTGTGATGGCTTTCTCTTCACAACTTGACCCCGAAAGCTGACCCATCTCAAGCTGAAGCATTCAAGTCATTTGAGCACCCTTTAGTTATCAAGGATTTTGATACTTTTCTTAAAAACTACCATCGATTTGACAAACACAAATGTTATGGTGACTATGGGATGACATATGTAAAATCAAGTAAAAATGAGGACTGAATTTTCCCATTTTATTCATAGAAGTGTTATGTCAGATATTTGTTAGTACTGTTAAAAGAAAAAATTTCCTTGCTGTTTTTAAACCATTATTATTAGCACAAATATGCCAATCCTCTTTTCTGAAATTTTGAAAATTTTCTACTTTGGGTCAGAGTCGAGTCCAATGAGTAAATGAAGGCATATTTGGAAAATAATTTCAAGATAACATAATATGACATGATAAAAGGTTGGATCTAGAAATAAGAAAAAAGAAAAAAGATGCCCAAGCTTTCTGAATTTTGAGGTATTAAAACTGAAGGTAAAGCAAAAATTCAATATTGAGAAGAGAACCAGTGGCGGGTTATATAAAAATGTCCTGGACATACCGCAAACAGTTAAAAGCTGAGGGCTGGGAAGGATAACAGCACAGAGACTGTTAGTTGAAATAACATGCCTGGGTTTATTTTCAATCTGAGGCTAGAGCTCAGGGACAAAACTGTCCTGATTCTTCCTCGTCAGGTTTTCACAGGAGGAGAAAATGTTCCCCTACTCTTTCCACAAAGGAAGAAGGAAACTAAGGGGTCAGTCTGGAACTCATTTTCAATCTGCTTCTTGGAAAATGATCCATTTGAGGTGTTCTGTTTTTTTTTTCTTCAGACAACTTTATTAAGATATAATTTACATGCATGAAAGTTCACCCATTCAAAGCACGCAACTCAATGGTTTTTCATATATTAAGAGTTATATAACCATCACCACAATCAATTTTAGGATATTTTTATCACCCCAAAAAGAAACTCCATATCATTTGGCACGCACTCCCTAGTCCCTTGCCAGAGGCAACTACTAATCTATTTTCTGTCTCTATGGATTTGCCTGTTCTGGATAGTTCATATAAATGGTATCATCAAATATATGGGCTTTTGTGACTGGCTTCTTACACTTAGCTTACTGTTTTTGAGGTTCATCCAGTTCATAGCAGGTATCAGTAAGTCATTCATTTTTACTGCTGAAAAATATTCCATTGAATAAATGTACTGCATTTTGTTTATCCATTTATGATGGAGTTTTATAGCAATATAAAATAATGCCGGAGAACAGTAGTTTATAGCATATGCTTATATGTAACAATTAGTGGGAAATCTCTTTATAGATGTGAATTACATGTTAACATTAGTTATATGTGCATTCTCAGCTGGGTGGGCTTGATTGACTTACAGAATTAGTAACACTGATTTATAAGATACAATACATAAAATTGCTAAACTCCAATAACACCAAGAATTAATACTTCTGAAATGTTCGTGAAAATATTCACAGAGCAATACTTAACCAGTTCAAGTGAGTATATAGCCCAAGGAAATTCTCACACAGCACCACTTACTGTGGTAGAGAATTGAAGGTAATCTAGGGGAGTGGACAGGCAAAGCGTGGTGGATGTTTATGAAACACTATGTATTCACCAGATGCAACAAAAACTGGGTGAACACGCAGCAATGTGGATAAATCTTGTAATATAACAATAAATTTTAAAAATCAAGAAAAAATACAACCTCTAACATAATGCCATTATATAAATTCAAAATACATATCCCAAACAACAGTACATATTTTATAAGAATACACTAAACAAACAAATAACATGAATAAAAAAAGAAAGTGGCCATGCAGGAACCAATGATGATAGTGTGTGTGCCACAAACTGAAAACTAAAATACTCAACACTCTCTATGTAAGGTCACGGTAGATGGGTTTTTGTATTATTTTTCAAAAATATTTGCTGCCCCTGCCTTGAAAAGGATTATACTTTTCCTCCCTATTGGCAAGGGAGGCTTTGCCATGTAACTTGCTCTGGTGAGACCCAGTATGTACATGTTTCACTGTCTTTTTTCTGTCTCCTACAATTGCTCCAGAATTTGTTTTATCATCTTGGGCCCTAGACTGAGGATAACAAGGAACAGAGCCACAATAAACCCAAGATAAACATGCAACATAAAAAAAACTTTGGTGTTATGAACCACTGAAGTTAAGGGGGTGGGCTGGTTGTTATTGAGCATAACTTATCCCATTATGACTGATATATTCACATACATCTACATGACAATTAAATCTCTTCCCAGTTTACTTTTCTGAAACTACTGTGTGGCACTAAGGTTATGGATATAGGGGCAGTGGGGTAGAAAATACAGCTCTTACCTTTAGAGGTATTATAAAAGAGACACATAAAGCAAGAGGAGAATAAAAGGGATCAATTATTCTAGCGGAAAGCACACTCGATGATGAGTTGTAAAATGTGGGTTTTAAACCTGCTCTTCCTACTTATTAGTCAAATGCCCCAAGCCAAATCTCTTAACCACTCTGAATCTCAGTTTCCTTACCTGAAAACTAAGGAAAGAGAGTGTACTCAAACATTTTTTCCGATTCTGAGGTTCCACGTTTCTATAACAAAGTAGTGTTAGATAGGTCACATGTGCACTACATAAAAACAGAACTTCAAAAAAGGTGAATAAAAATTGTTTACTCTTGATTTAAATGGTTGAATGTACCAAAATTTTTTACTTGTCAGAATATGACATCAGAGAAAGAAACCCTGGGTAATCAAGTATAGGCTGTCTTCATAAACACTAAAATGAAAAAGGAATAAACATAAGCCCAGATGTAGGAATCAACAGTACATAGGACAACGAAGGCAAAGACACAGGTGTGGACCCAATTCCTTGTGGTTATAATGAGGAATGACAGAAGATAAACATTAGAGCAAAGACTGTGATTGATAAAAGGCCTTAGTCTGGACAAAGACGTGTGGATTTGCTACCACCAGTCCCTGGCAGCACACAGGGTATGCAAGTGGTAGAAGACAGA